AAAACCCATCAGTGGTATCAGAGCCTTGATTGGTTTCTATTGTATTGATGCTTGATGTAACTGAAAAACGTGTTTTAGCCTCACTGTTCAACCTGGCTCGGCGAGTCACTCTTGGACTCGGTGAGTCAGCCCTACTCGGCGAGTTCCAGAGGGTGACTCGGCGAGTCGGTGCGTCAGACAGAGGTAATTTCGGGATTTTTGCTGTTTATCTTTGAGATACTTGCCTTTATCATATTAGATCATATAAATTTGATTTTATGATATATATGACTATATTCTTGATCTAATTAAAGATAATTATCAATTAATAAGATAATTGTTTCCTTATGTGATAATTGATTGATTATTTTGATTAAATTGATAAATTGTTTTGCAAGAAATCATTAAATAAAATATGGATAATTATGTGATTAAATGTGAATTTAGTTTATTTGTTATTTGATCCTTGTTGTTATGAAAAGTTTCATATTTTCCCCTTAGGTTTATAGTTTAAATTTGAAACCCAAAAGTTTGTTTTTTGAAATTTAAATAGTTGAAACCCTAATGTTTTGAAAAGGTTTCAAAACTTGCCCTCATGTTTTGGAATTTAAATTTTAATTAATAGTTTAATTTTGATGTATATTTAAATTCTAAACCCTAATATTTTGAAATGTTTCAAAACTTGCCCTCAAGTTTTGGAATTTAAAAGTTGATTAAAAGTTTAATTTAGGAATGTTAAATTCTAAAACCCAAGTAATGTTTTGAAAAGTTCAATTCACACCTTTATGGTTTTATTAATTAATTAAGGTGTATAATTAAAAGAGGTTTAATAAATCCATAAAAGTTTAGGTTTACAATTTAATTGAATTAAAAGTATAATTGTTAAATTTGACCACCTAGTATTTTAAAAGTGTAAAATACACCCTATACTATATATATCATTAAAAGTCTAACATTATATATATATATATATATATATTATATATATATATATATTATATATAATATATATATATATATGTATGAGTAAAAGTCAGTCTTACCGTTACTAGGCCTCATTCACGAAGCTGGTCTATAAGGGGTGTTTAAGGAAATTGCCTATAATATGGCAATTGAATGGGTATCCACTCTTACCCACCGCACTCTTGACTAGTGGAGGGTCGTTAGCCGAATGGGTAGGATAGGACGAAACCTTCCATATAAGTATAATGAAATACAAACTAACTAAATGTTTTTCAAAATTCCCAATCTTAGCTACTTAAGCAAAGTGAATTGATGCAATTCCATGAAATTACACTTTGTGCCCTTGTGAAGACGTTAGTGGAGCGTGTGTGGTTTACCGGCACACTAAATGGTTCTAAGCAAAGGTAGCAAAGGGTGACTCAATGTTGTCATAGTTCGGTGGAGCGTGTGTGGTTTACCGGCACATCGAATAGGTGATTGTAACATGTAAGGGCACCATGTAAGTTTGCATGGTTATTCACACCCGCTTTGTGATCTTCAGCATCCCAGTCACAAACAAGAGGGGCATATCGAGATATAAACATGCCATTGAAATGTTCAATGGATCTCAAAGGATCTAGGAGTTTTCATAGATTTAAAACTTAAATTTATTTTTCGTTTTTTCATGGTGGAAAT